CGCTAATTGTTTAAACAATACTTATAAAAAATAAACAATACCTGTAAAGGTCACTGAGCTATATTCTGTGTCGACCCTGACCTCGTTTGTGAGGTAGGTAGACTCATCCCTGGGCCCAGGTCGCAGGAAGCCAGGAACCCATTAGTTGCCCCAGTGCTTTCCCTTCTTATAGCCAATTAGTAGTTAGACTGAAGGGCACTGCTATCTGCAAGATTTACTTCAGGAGCTTAAATTTTGTTCCTGTTGCTCACACATGCATGCTAACAAGAAAGACTGTCCTTTCAGTGACCCTCCCTCATTTAAGTGCTAGAAAACACACCCCTGGGTGGAGATGCAATGAGATAATGAGACGTGCCACACAAAAAAAAGCATGTAGTTCCACTGTGCAAGGGCCAGAGTTCCTGCCTCTAAATACTTAGACATCACACTTAGACGTCATCTTTTCTGGCTCAACTTTAAAACTGTTCCTCAGCCTTTGTTCAGGGAGCAACCCATTCTTCCTTTCTCTGTTTACTAGCTATATTAAACCTCTCCCTGAGAACCATTTTTTTGGGTGTGGTGAACTCTCTTATTTTCCTTCTTGGAAATTCCCAAGAACCCCTGATGCCAGTAACAATTGGATTCGTGGATACCAGCTCCACTGTGTGGCTATTTTTTTTTTTTTTAATTTTTATTGATTAAGAGAGAGGAAGGAGGGTGGGGAGAGAGAGAGAGAGACATCATTTTGTTGTTCCACTTATTTACGCATTCACTGGTTGACTCTTGCATGTGCCCTGACTAGGGATCCAACTCGCTGCCTTGGTGGTATAAGGGCAATGCTCCAACAAACTGAGCTACTTGACCAGGCCTTTGTGGCTATTTTTCAATCAGAGGGTACAAGCATTTAAAAGTTGTAACTTTTACCTAGGTGAAGAAGGAATTCACTTTCGTGGGTTTGCTGTCAGAATAAAATTACAAACGTGCCTTAAGCACAGGCGTACGTATTCACATGAAGTGGTTCTCATGTCTACAGTATTATTTAGTTTCAATCCTGGGATAAATATAGATTAAATCTTTTTCAAAAAATAGCTTGAAATTTAAGCCATGCTATTGTTGATATGCAAACTGACAGATGACGCTGTACATCATTCAATTCCCTGGTTCATGCTTTTTAAAATAAAGTAGTAAGACAGGATGATAAGAAGCTAGGGAAATTCCTTGACAAGTGGAATAAGAGAAACTGAGACAAAATAATTAAACAAGGACAAACAATCTGAGCAATTTATAGCCAGCTAATGAATCACAAAGTTTTTTATCTTCCTTAACCAAGGCCACTTAGGAGCAAATGGTTTACACGTTCCAGACCATCCAGGAATGGCCTTGATCCCAGTCCCTCTTCAACAACATTCTTTAAAAATAAAACTAACCAAAAAAAAAAAAAATAACCCTGACTCCACTATACACACATTTTGATGAATCGACATATCAAAGGACACACCTGAAAAGTTAATGAATATTCTGTTAAGACCCTCCCCTCAGGCCTCGCCTAAGATTCCTACCTGCTAAAGAATGATAAAAAGTCTCAAGACAAAGGACCCATAGGATGCTCTCACTAGAGCACATCCTCTACTTGTACCTCCTTTCTCCTAAATTCTAAGGGCCCTCATGTGACTTGCAACAAGGGGAGCAACAGGCAGCAGCAGCTCTTTCTAGGCTTACCCCCTGAACCTGTCTCATAAGGCTTCCTTTTTCTCTTTCTCTCTCTGTTGCTTCTTCTACCTTAAACCCTTCCTTTGTTTCACAGTCCCAAGCCTTAATAAGCCTACTTTCAGAATCACCTGGAATTGTGTTGTGAACTCTTTCCTACATGAAGTCAAGGACCCACACACACTACACTCGCCAGCCGGAGGCAGACCCACTCCGGGTCCAGAACCTGACTGGTAACAGTAAAACCAATGAGAATTTGGATCATACATAACATTTTAAATTACTAATGGCTATAAAATATTCTGGTTGGTTGTCACTGATTGGAGGAAGCTAAGGAGACATGACAAATAAATGCATTTAAGATCTTAGGTAAGATCTTGGACCAGGGGAGGACATTAGTGGAAAATCTGGTGAAATTTGAGTAAGTTTGGGATTTTAGGAGTTTAGTTAATGGGATTGTATTGATGTTCTTGTCTATGGTTAATTACTATAGTTATGTAAGGTGATAACATTAGGAAAAGGTAGGTGAAGAATATATGGGAAATCTCCACACCTTTTAAGGCAACTTTTCTGTAAATCTAAAATTATTTCAGAGTAAAAAGTTTTAAAAATTCTACTTTGTGGTTAGAAAGAACCACATATATTTCTACACTCTGTCATAGTAAGACAGGATAGCAAGCAGCTAGGAAAACTCCTGGACAAATGGAATGTGGAAACAAGGCAAGAAAACTCAATAAGGCCAGTTTGAGCAATTTACAGCCAGCTAGTGTAAGACCTTACCTCCCCTAACCAAGGACACTTGAAAGCAAATGGTTTATACTTCTCACTCACCAGAGAATACATAGCCTCATGGCCTCGCTGGCCATAAACTACAGGTGTCCAGGGAAGGGAAGAATGCTAATGCAAACGGAGAGATGGCACCCGAACAAAGGGAGCGAGCTTGGGAAGAGGCCGTGTGACTCCCCTTTCAACTCCCTGTCCCCTTACTCCCAAGAGAAACAGCATGTCTGAGCTCCCCCTAAGAATTTCTGCCTCCTAAATTCCCACGTTTCCCCTATGTAAACTTGCTTCTGAAAGCTCAAGGGAAGGTGGATATTAGGGCTTTTACCAGCCGCCTTCTCAGATTGCTGACCTCTGATATTAATAAAAGTGCGATTATAATCCAATCCCTGTCTCTGCTTTTTGGCTGAGCAGTGACTGGAAGCACAGCCCTGGACTCAGTTGCCCTCCAGTTTCAATAGCAATATACACAGTTATAGTATGATCTCTCTTGTGTGTAAAGACATGTACAAATGTATCCCCCAAGAAGATACATTCAAGTCCTATTCCTCCCAGCAGCTGTGAATATGATCTTATTTGGAAATAGGATCTTTGCAGATGTGATTAGTTAAGGAGCTTAAGAAGAAATCATCATGGATTGAGGGTGGGCCCTAAATCCAATGACTGGTGTCTTTATAAGAGGAAAGAGAGATGGGGATGCAGACCCAGAGAGACCCAGGAGAAGACATGTGATGATGGAGGCAGAAATTGGAGTGATCTATAAGCTAAGAATCTCCAGGAGCTGCCAGAAGCTGGGAGAGGTAGGGAAGGATCCTCCCCTAGACCCTTCTGGGGGAGTGACACCTTGATTTTGGACTTCAGAACACAGAACTGAGGGAGAATAAAATTCTGTTGTTTTAAGCCACACAGTTGTGGCGATTTGTTATGGCAGCACCAGGGGACTGATACACCTGTTTGGATTGTCCTTGTACCAAAAATATCTGGAGGGACAATGTCTAGTCCACCAGAAGTGAGGACTGGAAGTTGGTGGGGGGGGGGGGGGCAGTTGGAATGGGATAGAAAGACTGCTTTTACTTTACAGTTTACTTTTTATGTTTTTCTCTTTTTGTGAAATGTTTACAGGATCTTCTTTTCATCTGTTCAACTGCTAAGACCTACACACACAAAACTAAGGAGAGTCCTTTTTGTCATTTTAACCATATTTAAGTGTATGATTCAGTGGCACTAGTTACATTCACAGTGTTGTTCAACCACCACCAGTCTATTTCCAAAACTTTTTCACCACCTCAAAGAGAAACTCTACCCAATCAGCTATCATTTCCCTTTCTTCCCTCCAGCCACAGAACCGCACGTTGGAAAAAAATTTGTGAATAACTTGGAACCCATTACCTGTGATTGGCATCGGCAATGGGGGCAAACTTGGAGGACTGAGCCCTTACCCCGTGGGATCTTTGATAACTCCTGTTTGTGTCAGAACTGGGTTAAATCAGAGGATACAAGGTTGGTACCCACAGAGAACTGGAGATTGCTTGGTGTGGAAAATACCACACATCTGGTGTCAGAAGTGTTGGTGTGTGACCGTGAATGTTGCAGAGGAGAAACAGAGTTGATTTTCCCTTTTCAGGCTCTGAGGAGGCCCCAGAAGAGCCGCCCTGAGTCTGAAAGATGAACCAGGCCAGGTAGCCCTGGAGAAGTGAGACAGGATAGTAAGAAGCTAGGAAAATTGCTTGGCAAGTGGATCAGGGAAATTAAGACTGACCAAGAAATTTACAGCCAGATACAAAAGGTCCCCTCTCCCTAGAGATAACATCTAGGTCTCAGTTGTATTTCAGCTCCAGGTCCAGAAAAGCAGCAAAACCAGGTGGGCGAGGAGAGAACCAACTGCAATGACTAGAGAAACCCGGAGATCGTGACCCTTAAAGGGCACACCTGGAGAACTGATGAATACCTTTGAGGAAAACCCTCCCCTGAGACTTCCCCTAAGATTCCCACCTGCAGGGAAAATACTCAGCAAGCATTTGCCCTCCCCCTAGGGAGCCACCTGTGCCATCCCCTTTCCTTTCTTCTCCCCCTACTTCTTTCTTCACAGGTACTTGCCTCCTAAACCCTAAGGCAATGGGCAGCTGGCAGCTTGTCCCAGGCTAATCCCCTGAACCTGTCCCCAAGTCCCCTTTTCTCTGACTTCCCAGTGACTAAGGCAGCCCAGCCTAGGCTCTCCTGTTGCTTCTTCTATGCGAAGCCCTTCCTTGTTTCATTGTCCCCAGCTTTAATAAATGTATCCTCATAGTCATCTGTACTCATTTCGTGAAATCTTTGCTGCATGAAGTCAAGAACCCACACACTACCGCTGGCCAGGCCCACTCAGGGCCAGGCCCCTGTCCAGTAACAGAACGGCAAGGTAGGGGCTGGTTGAGTGTGGGGAGGCCCCGGGGCTGGAGGTGTTGGTGCTGGGTGTCAAAGGACCCAGAATCCGGGGATTCAGGACCTGTTTCTGGAAGAGTCAGGCACACAGTATGTACTCAATAAATGTGTATTCAATTAATTTTTATTTTGCCCAAAAGTTTACTTTATTCATACTCAAAATATAAGCCATGTATAACAAGTCACTTAATAAAATCCCCCAGCAAGGTGGGCCTCTGTGTCTGGCTAGGGGACTGGAAAGGATTCCTGTCAATACTTCTTATCCTTGATCACCTGCAAGAGAAAGGAGGGCAGGTCAGACGGGGCCCAGAGCTGACTGTGGGAGGAGAATACGGGCAGCCAGTCACCCCAGCCAACTGGGAGAAGGGGCCATCAGGCCTCCAGGCCAATGAAGGGCGCCGCTACCTTCTCTGATCTGAACTGTGCCTCTCCCAAACCATCCCCAGACCTTACTCGTGTGTAGCCCCCACCCCTCATTCCCTCGCCAGCTCCAGGCCTCCCCAGGTGCTCATCCCAGGCTAACTCTGACCTCAGTCTTGTAGAGCACATATCCTGTGGCAAACATGGTGAGCAGAATCGCAGCGGGCCACATTGCAGACCCTGTGGCCAGGAAGGACAGGCCACGTAGTCCCTATATGGAGGACGAATGAGGCAGGGAGACTTCAGTGACCCAGGATGATCACACAGGATAGAGACAATGCGGGGTCTATGGGGCTCAGGCTCCCAGGTTGACAGGTGGGATAGGAACCAGAGAAAAGAAGGACACTCAAGATGGTCCCATCCCACTGAGCTCAGTGGGAAGAACGGGCTCCAAGGCAGATGCTGGCTCTGCTCTACCCTCTGCAGTGAGCAGAGGGTAGCTGCAGGGCGGGGGTCCCTTGGCCCCTCTGGGCCCTGCCTCCTCAGGTCATGGGGGTGGCACTCTCCACTCCCTGGGTTGGAGGGAGAAAGCAGGGCTATCTGGAGGCTCTGGAGTAGTACTGGCTGGTGGAAGTGCTCACAGGGTGAGCTGGGCACACTGCAGAGGGGCCTTCAGGCTCTGTGGTCCTTCTGACTCCCACAGCACGGTTCTGGCCAGGCCTGGGACTTCTCAGCAGGGGATGGAGTCTGAGGGGTCTCTGAGTCCCCTGAGGACTCCTGGCCTGTAGCTTGAGATGCCCCATGCCAGGTGCCCTGAGGTCTCGGCCCAGGGGAAAGAAGCAGGGCCCCCGCACAGCCTTTAGTTATCCCTGGGCGCACCCTGCCAATGAGGAAAAAGGCCAGGGTCCTGTTCCTGTCCCGGTAGCTGGTGGCTGGGCATGGCCAATCCTGGCTGATTATTATGGGGGGATATCTTTACTCACCACCTTGACCAACAATACGGATGCTCCTGCCCTTGCCGCCGCCGCCGCCGCCACTGACACCGTTGTCGCCTCCGGCATTTTTCTATTTTATTTATTTACTGTTAGAGAGAGAGGAGGGGAGGGAGAAAGAGAGGGAGAGAAACATCGATGTGTGAGAGACATACCAGTCGGTTGCCTCTCGGGGATCCGGCCCAAAACCCAGGCATGTGCCCTGACTGGGACAAGTGACCCTTTGGTTCACAAACTGGCACTCAATCCCCTGAGCCACAGCAGCCAGGGCGGGCCACCATATTCTTAAGGTATCAGAGCTCATCCTGTGGAGAGGACACCCCAAGTCCTCTTTCCACACACTCCACTTCCCCTAGGACCTCTGGGATCTGCCCCTCACCGGCAGAGGTCAGGCTTCAGCCTCACAGGGACCCTGCCTGGAGGGGATCACCTGGGTAAGAGACCTGAGGGTTAATTGCCCTGGAGCCCAGGCCCACTCTCTGGCTGGCTGTGGAGGTCCCAGAGCCCTGCTCTGCCTCGGGCTCAGGAGTCTCCTCTGAAGGCCTAGGGGAAGAGCTCACCTACCTATTGTCTCTGGACTCTCGTCTGGAAGGCCATTTCTTCTTTCTGCCCCAGCCTGCAGTTCTTCCAGGGATGGAGAGGGAAGAGGGAAGGGCTTTTTTTTTTTCCTCTCTACAATTATCTTGCTAGCTTTTGGCTCACTTGGGGCCCTATCCATTCATCTAGCTTTCGGCAGGCTCAGTGTTAGAACCTCACCCTGCCACTGTCCTGGCCAATGGGGGAGACTTCCCAGTGCTCCGACTGATTATTTTATGATAACATCCCCACACCTCAGCCAATTCCAAGGCACACATTCTATGGCTAGGATGTCTTGGCTAACCCTGGCCCCCACCCTTTGTCCTCTGTTGCCCCTTCTAGAAGGAAGATCTGGTTCCTGCATGTAAATTATTTTCCTGCTCTACCTAACTAACCCTCCCTTGAGAGGGCTCCATTCTCTGAGGCTAAGCCTGCTGCCCTGTACCAGATAACAAACCCCCTGCTGGACTCCCACATCTTTGTGGAGCACCTACCTACCCTGGTTCTCCTGCCAGTCACCCCATTCTTACCTTGGGAAGGAGGAGAACCTTTCTCCTTGAGGCTCCCTTTGACACTGGCTGGTCTAGACCTGGAAACAGATTTGAGAGTCTATTTCCTTGCTCCGGCCCTCTTTATAACCACAGATCTATTATTAGCAAAGCAGTGATTTCCCTGAAATCACCTGACTTCTCAGAATAGTTCATTTTATTTGTTTCTCTTTCACTTGCTCTCAAGGAAACCAAGTTAAAATGAAACTTTTTGTGAGACAACTAAGGACAGCTGAGGATGAGTGGGAGAAAACTAAAGCCAGGGAAGCCTTCCCACTGGCTGGTACAGAAGCAATGCATGTGAAGTCTCAGACAACAGGGTCAATACCAGGACGTGGCAAGGAGTGAGGCCAGGAACTCCACAATTCTGAGCCATTTGAAGAGAACTCTGAGCGTGCTGTGTAAACAGAACTTTAAGTGCAGCCCTTGTGTCTAGTCTTTGCCCCACAGTCTGCAGCCCCCACCCTGAACTCACAAATCCTGGATTCAACATTTTTGGCAGAAGACCCTTCCCGGGGGAGCTCACAGCTGGGAGCTGCAGTCCTGGAAGACTTTCTGGAGGAGGTAACACTTGGGCCTGGGAGGGCAGTGACCAAGAGGCATCCTGGGGAAGACCGACAGCAGGGGGCCTGAGACTTCCTGGGGACAGGTTCTACAGGGGAGGATGAAGAGGGGCTAGGTCCCTGACACATACAAAACAACACTCAACTTCATCATCTGCCACCTACCCATTTGCCGTCTCCCATCACCCACCCACCACCTGCCATCCCTGTATCTCTGCATCTACCTACCTGGCCTTTGCTGAGAATGCAGCCTGCCTGACACGTGCGCCTTGAGAACTACAAGAATATAGACAATCTCTTTTAACACATGATTATCTCACAGTTAATTGAACTAATATGCTATAGATGAGCATTTAGGTTTTTTATACTTTTTTTCATGTTTTGCAGTTGTTCCAACACTATACGCACAAGAATATTTCTGTTGGACCTTCCGCCCACATGATGCTCTGTGCCCCCTCTAGTGAGCAGCTCCCGCTGTGGCTCTGGTGGCGCTTGGCAGTGCAGGGCTGAAGGGTCTGGCCGGGTGGGAAGAGCACCACTTCATATTTTATAATTTTATAATTTTTAAGTGAGGAGATTTTGATTGATCTTTTACTTTTCAGCAGTTTTTTTCCCCCCAGTATTTTAAAATAAAAAGTTGCAAGCCTGGCAGTTATAATTCATCTGAAACAGAACTTAAACTACTAACCTCTTCAAAGTGACTGAGCAAATAATCCTAACATGGTAGGCAGTTAGACAGACATGAGCAGAGCAAGGACGATGGACCAGTTACAGGTCACCAGGGTGGAAAATGCTGGATGCCTAATATCTGACAAAACTGGGAAAACAAAGACTTTGCCCCCAGGGTAACTTTTCTTCCTAGCATGACACTGGTCATGCACGCATTTTAGACCCTCTGATCTTTCATATCGTTGGTCATGTGGTTCAGCCCCTCCTCTGACCTTTCCTTCCCTGGTATGTTGCTAGTCATGCAGGTTAGAACCCATTAGAGGAGGAACGAACAAGGGGACTAGAGAATAGCCCTAAAAAATTAAGCTCCTGTGCTCTGGCTGGTGTGGCTCAGTGGATTGAGCGCCAGTATATGAATGAAAGGGTCACTGAACCAGGCATGTGCCCTGACTGGTTCAATTCCCAGTCAGGGCACATGCCTGGGTTGTGGGCCAGGTCCTCAGTGAGGGACGTGTGAGAGGCAACTATGCATCGACGTTTTTCTCCATCTCTTTCTCCTCTCTTCCCCTCTGTCTAAAAGTGAATAAATAAAACCTTAAAAAAAAATTAAGCTCCGAAAATAATGAGGTTCTGAACCTCATCAGATACATTCAGATACATTCAAATACATCTAGGCCTCATTTGTGTTTCACCTCCAAACCCAGACAATGCATGCAAAACCAAACGAGATGCCATGGCTGACATCAGGACCAGCTGCATTGACTAACGACCCCTACCCTGGGTTCCTACCTCTGCTGACCAATCAGCAGAGACCACAACCCTGAAAGGACACACCTGGAAAGCTGAGTATTCTATCACGATCCATCTCTGAGACCTCCAGATAAATACCCTCAAGTCAGAGGGCCTGTGAGGCTCTCCATCCTCTTCCTCCCCCTCCGCATATTTTCCTTGCCTCTCTCTTTTTCCTAAGCTCCAAGCGCTCTTTTGTCTCTCTAACTTGTTTCCTGAGTCCATTTCTTCTACAGTTCACTTCTTATACTTCTGTGACTTTGTAAATAAACCTTCTTTTATAGTTTGAGTCTTGGTTCTAAATTCTTTTTTTTTTTTTTTTTTTTTTTTACTTTTTAAAAAATTTATTTGAGAGGGAGAGAAACATGATATGTTGTTTAACTTATTTATGCATTCATTGGTTGCCTCATGTTGTCAAAGTAAGAAACAATCAAACCTGTAGAGAATTTTTGCAAGTTTATATGAGCCAAACCGATGACAATTGCCAGGAACCAAAATCTCAACAGACTGAGAGAATGCTCCAAAGAATGGCAGTTTTGAATCTTATTTCATACATTACAATCAAAAGAGAAGACATAAATGGGTTACATGAAATCCAGTGGTGATAGATGAGGATAGTGTAACAAAGCAAAGCAGCAGGGAAACCTCTGGGATTGAATAAAAAGGAAATTGAGCTCTGGCTGGTGTGGCTCAGTGGATTGAGTGCCAGCTTCAAAACAAAATGTTGCTGGTTTGATTCCTAGTCAGGGCACATGCTTGGGTTGCAGGCCCAGTTAGGGGCATATGAGAGGCAACCAACTGATATATTTCTTGCACATTGATGTTTCTCTCCCCCCTTTCTCCCTTTTTCTCCCTCTCTGTAAAAAATCAGTAAATAAAAAAAAAAGTAAAATGATAGGCACATACTTCTTTTACATAGGGGTACAGGATACTTAAGAGTCAACAATTAACTCAATAACAGTGAGGTGATCTATGGTTTCAGGAGAGTGGGGCCTGTGCTTTGAGGGGTCTGGAAAAAAGGAACTACTTTGACATTCCAGAGTTATATTATTGTAGATGCAAAAACACAACAGACAGGCTTAGTGTAGGTGAAAACTGACCTTTGTCAAGGAAGACTCTAGCCTAGGACATGACTACCTGCCATAAACTGCTTTTAGTTAAAAAGTTTTAATTTCAGACCATTCTTTGTGGTTACCTTAGGTCTCTGAATTTGTAAGGTCACCACCTACAAGAGTTTGTCAGGTTTAGTGTGCGGCCCCCTCTTCATTCACAGTGCCCTGACCAGAGATCAAACGCACAACCTTGGCATGTTGGGACAACACTCTGACCAACAGAACTGCCCAGTCAGGGCTCTGAATTCTTTCTTAGCTAGAACTTAAGTTCTGAGGTTGCTGAACCAAGGTCCGATCTGACTCCACTGGTCTAATACTTGGTGCCATTTTCGCCACCACCACTAAGAAAATAAAGTTAGTTTTTTAAAAGCTCTAGAAACCCCCAAATTACAGATAACATCCACTCCAGGAAGGAGTGGGAGGACAGTGCCAACCCAGGCCAGGGCTGCTCAAAGGCCCCCATGTGTAGTGAAAGGAAAGCCTAAGACCAGGGACCATTCCTGTTGCCCACGGGAAGGCTTCCGTTATCGGGCTTCTTCCCCGCCACAAGAACAGGAGCTCAATCAGAGACTTCTTTGGGAGCAAATGCTGTTATTGCCAGGTGCCCTGCTTTGCCTATGCTGAAGCTGCATGGTCCTGGCCAGGCCATTGAGACCACACAGGTCCTGGAAGCTACCAGACCTGGTCAGGACCATGCTTGCAGGCCTGTGGGAGAGGGCAGGCTGGAGCTGGGACCTCGAGATAAAAAGGTGACATAGGAACCCCTCATGGGCAGCAGAGGGAGGCTCTAGCATCAACCCAGGGAGCTTCCCTTCTACCTCGGTCTGGTCTTCCTCTGGGGAAAGGAAGGATAGGATCCTTTTCCAGACATAAATAAATCCTGCCTTTACACTTCCCCTAGCTGCTCCCATGATTGGTAATTGACTGTTCGATTTTTTTGTTTATGGTCCATCTTGCCTGTGGAATGGCAGTTCCAGAGTGGAAATTGGAGAAGCTGCACTCACCCTTGCCCCTGGAGCCACCAGCATGGGTTCAGCTTCACAGGCCCTGCTGGTCTAGCTGCCCTGGTCCCAGGGGAGCAGTGCTTTCACTGGGGGGCGCTGCCACAAGGACACAAACTGAGGTTGAAGGCAGAGGCCAGGCCTGTCCCCAGAGAATAAGCAGAAGTGGGTATGAACCTGGATTCTGAGAGTGGAAGGACAAGAGATGACAAAAAGGCTGTGCTCTAGAAGGCCCAATTAAAGAGTTTTTTTATTTTATTCCAAAGGCATTTGGGAGAGATTTAAGCATTTTAGAAATATTACTTCAATGCGATGGATGCTAAAATGTTAACAGTGGTTGTCTCTGAGGGGTAGAATTGCCTGTGTACATTTTTATTTTCTTTGCTTTTTTTCTTTTTTGTTCACTATCTGTGTTTTGTCATGTTTTCTATAATGAACATGGTTTACCTGAATGTATTAGCGTTCAGGGGCTGTTATAATAAAGTACCACAAACAGGATCAATTAAAACAACAGGAATTTGTTCTCTCCCAGTTTGGGAGGTCCTGGAAGGTGCAAAATCAAATCCTTTCAGCTTCTTCTAGTTTCTGGCGGCTCCTGGTATTCCTTGGCTGGTGGCCCTATCACTCCAGTCTCTACTCCCATCTTAACATGCCCTTCTGCCCTGTGTGTCTCCATGTCTCCTTTTCTAATAAGGACACAAGTCATTGGATTTAGGGTCCACCCTAAATTCATAATGATCTCATCTGGAGCTCCTAACTAACTACATCTGCAGAGCCCTTTGTTCCACATAAGGTCATATTCTGAGGTTCTTAGTGGACACAAAGTTTTAAATGGCTACTGTTCAACCCACTACACTATAAGAGATAAATAAAGCATCAAAGGAAAGTTTAAAAAATCACTCTGGAGGCACCATGATGACTGTAGGCAAAGCCC